TAAAAATTAGAATACAAATATACTATACTATACTAATATACCATTATATTATTTTCATTGTATATAAATTACAAAATTAATAATTTGTATACTATACTATACTAATATATTATTTGTATACTATACTAATAGTATAATATACTATATTATAATATTATTTGTATAGAAAACTAATATCTTTATATATAAATATGAAAAGATATAAATATATGTAAAAATATGAAGATATAAATATATAAAAATATAAATATATGTAAAAATATAAAGATATAAATATATCAATATTTAAATATATCAATATATTGATTAGATTTTCGAAATGATACAAATATATAAATATATAAAGATATAAATGTATAAGGATATAAATAAATATATAAATATATCAATATATAAATATATCAAAATATAAATATATAAATATAAGTTTCTTGTAAAACTTTTCAAGTTATTTTAAGCTGATAAAAATAAGTTTTAATCGATTAAAACGTCATGTGTAGAATTGTTTTAATCGATTGAAACGAGATTTAATCGATTAAAGAGTTCGATCGGTCATAATTGCATGCTGAACGATCATAATTGAAACCATATAATAGCGGTTTCAGGTTAACCGCTATCTAAGTGAGCTTTTAAGAGCGGTTCTGTGTAACCGCTATCTAAAATGTATTTCGCTGAGCGATACTCTTCTCGCTCGAGCGAAACGCCCCTACACAAAATTGACATTCTCGGATTGTATTTCGCTTGAGCGACTCTAATCTCGCTCGAGCGATGGTGCAACCGCTATTAGAAGTAAATATAAACATATAAATATATACTATGTTATACTATACTAATATACCATTATATTATTTTCATTGTATATAAATTACAAAATTAATAATTTGTATACTATACTAATAGTATAATATACTATATTATAATATTATTTGTATAGAAAACTAATATCTTTATATATAAATATGAAAAGATATAAATATATGTAAAAATATGAAGATATAAATATATAAAAATATAAATATATGTAAAAATATAAAGATATAAATATATCAATATTTAAATATATCAATATTTAAATATATATTAAAATATATAAATATATTTTTATTTATAGATTTTATATTTATATATTTATACGGATATACATTTATTTGTATATAAATATAATTTATTTGTAAGTTATTATTAAAAGATCATAGTAGCTCGAGTGGTTGGAGTTTCAGCCTTCAACTCTAAGGTATCGGGTTCGAATCCTCGACAATGACAATAAACCACCTAATAATAAGTTAAACTTCTAAAAAATATAATATAATTAAGAGATAGGGAAAATAAATAATAGATATAATAAAAATAATTAAATTTGTTATTGATCTGAATCGATGACCGAGTTGGTCACTATTTTAATTAGTAACCGATTTTGCACATTTAGTGACCGAATTTTCGGTCACTATTTAGTGTTTTTGTTGTAGTGTTTTATCATAAAATAGCTTTTTAGTTAAGAATTAAAGGTAAAAATAAAACGAGATTTTATTTTCATCTTATCGTTATCGTTATATAGTCTTTTATTTTTTTTATTGAAGAATTAAGAAGTATGATAATTCAACTTATAAAACTGATTTAATAAAATGATGATTATATTCATACTGAGGAGAATTTTTTAATTACAATTTTTTATATCGAAAATAAATAATAAATGAGAATTATACTTCTATTGAGGAAGATTTTTTAATTATATTTTTTTATTGAAGATGAATGATTTAATATTAGTTTGACTAGATTGATAATAAATTATTTAATCTATTATTATTAACCATTAATATTTTTATATCTTTAAAGTTGGTTTTGATATCATCTTATAAATTATGAAATATTTAACTCAATTTTAAAAAAAATTGTTTAGTAATATAAAGATTATACTCACCTATTATGTATTATAATATTATCATATATTTAATCGACAGATTTTTTTAATAATAACATCATTAAGATCAATTAATATATTCGAAATGTTATAATCTTTAAAATATTAATTTGTCACAATTTTGTAAGATATGGGTTAAAAAAAATTATATATATTGCATTTATCCTTTAACTTTAAACTGATTCATGATTTATCAAAAACATAAAACATGTGAAAAAAAAAAATATAATCACCTTATAATTTAAAATTGCCACATTTTCCTTCACAACTCAAGCCAAAATGGAATCATTGGCATTGCGATAGAACACGACAATATGTACTAAAATTTAAGTGAAGGAAGCAGCACAAAATTTGTTGTTTTCTTCCACGTTTTTTTTATTTTTTAATCTTACATATTGTAAAAATATATTTTATATTGACTCACTTTCAATCCTTATACACATGTTACACAACTTCACTTTTTGTCGCCAATTAATTTTAAATTAAAATCTAAAAACATAAAAATTAGATTCAACATGGTGCATATTTATATTTTCAACCATTTCCAGTTTTTTTTAATCATTTTCAACATTAATATATGTTTGAAATGTTATTTTAAGCTTTAAATTTACACTATTTATTGATTTTTTTAAAATAATGATAAAAGACATCATCTTTCCCAACCAAATAGATTTGTTAGCTTATATAAAATTAACATGAACCCTAATTAACCAGAAAAAAAAAAAAAATACTCGAGTAACTCCTTATGCTTTATTCAAGACAATATAGTTTTTAAAATTTCGACCTTTTGGTACAAAGATTCAATAATGAATAGTAATGTCACCGACATATACATTAGTTTAATGTAATGAGATAATCATGATTAATTTTATGAAAATTCTATATTTTCTTAATCTAAAATTCCACCTCCACACTAATAATTAATAGGAAATAGTTTCTTGTTTTCTTTGGGAGGGGGACCAAAAAGTGGCTTCATAGGAAGGTTATGAGTGTGTAAATGCATTATGTCTAAAGAAGTACAAGCCATGAAGGGCATATTAGTCATGCTGTTTGTGGTGTTTGCTAGGGTTCAAATCATACCCCCCACAAAAGGGTCATGGGTGAAAAGGGAAACAAAACAATGTAGCTAATGTTTAACATTCATCAATGTAGTAATTCATTTTCTAATGTTCCTTTTTTTAAAAAAAATGTTTGATTGAATTTTTTTCTTGGTTTCGCCACTTTGAGAACGAGATACACTAGATGAAAATGTATTTAAAAATATATTCAAAGCATTTTTTTTATCTTATCTTACATACTTAATATATCTTGAATATTTAACATACTAACCCTAAGTATTGAGTAACTAAGATTCATAATATGAATTCAAAAATAACCTCGTATATTTTTTTTAAATATATCATTTCTAATAAATTTTAATATATTAAATTTGAATTACTTATATTTTAATTTTTTAAAATATTTTATCCAATATAATAATTCAAGTTTATTAATTTTTTATTTGAATAACGTATTTTTATTATTATCAAATATAAAAATATTAAATATAAAAATTATTATCGTTTTATATATATATATATATATATATATATATTAATTTCATCTATTTTACAAGGTTTAATCTTTAATCTCGTGTGATATTTCGGATTAAGTTAATTTATAATAAATTGATTTGAATGAATTGGAATGGGTGAGAATAGGAATTAAATTTGATTTGGATGAAACAAATTACTTTGATCAGAAAGGTCAAAATTGATCGAAACGTAGTAAAACTTATTTTAATCAAGTCAAGATAAAATTAAGTTAAAATGAATTTATATAAATATAATCAAACAAGATCATTTATAAAAGGTTTATTAAAGACAAATTAATTTGAGTCAAGTTGTAAAATTTAGACAAATCAAGATTATTTTATTTAAACCAAATTTATTGAAGTTAAATCGAATTTAATCAAAATAGTACAAGTTAAATTAGGTCAAAAATTTCCTAGTCTCATAATGAATTTTTTAAAAATATAATTTCAAAATTTTCTATCTAAATAATATATTTTATCAGGAAGCATTTTAAATTCATTATAAAAATAATTACCTCATATCATAATGTTGATTACTCTTGAAGTTTTGTCAAAATGAGCAAATTTTCAATTTTTTTTAATTCTACCTTAATCTCTCTTGATTGTTTAAAAGTAATACTCTAATTTTATTAATTGTTTGAAGAACAATATATCATATATCATATAAGAAATGATTATAAATCTTAAAAATAGGAAACATTTATGAAATTTTATGAACTCTCTGTAATAATCAGTATAATTTTTTTACAATAACTAAAAATCGAACTTATAAAGATGTAATAAAACAAGGATTCAAACAAAAACTTACGATCATATGTGTAGCAGAAGGAAAAAATGGTTAAAGGGTGAAGCTGAATTAGTTAAAATGTGGAAGTTGTTACGAACCTTATCCCATGTCAATTTCTAAATATCAAGAATCATTCTGAATTTCCCTGAACTTAAATTTGTATTATTATTATTAGCCCTTTCGATTTGTTTGTGCAAAGATACAAACATCAGAAGAAGAGTGTAAGAAAAAAGAGATTATTAATATTACTAATAGCCCATGCCATGCCAATGCCATGCCCCCATGAAAAATGTGGGGAGAGGAGTGTACTCAAACTGTGCCAGCCTGTGCTTGTCACCTTCCTCCATCCTTCGCCACCACCACCACCACCGCCACCCAACAAATTGAATATAAAAATGATGTTATGAAAGTACCATGTATATGCTTCTATACACTATGAATCAATCTAACTCTTCTTCATGATGTGGTTTTGAAACAAGAGCCATTCGTGTGGGTCTATGGCGGGTCCTTCTTTACTTCTTTACATACATAACCCACCACGTTTTCTTTTCTCTTATCAATCACTTCCCTCCTCTTCTCTCCCTCTACTAAAACCCCTTCCCCTCACACTCTCTTCATCTCATTTTCATCTTCATTTTTCTCACTCTTTCATATCTCACTTATTGTCACCATCATAGGGACACAGCACGTCAAACCAACAACAACGTTCTATACCTTAAACAATGGTCGACCCAGCACCATCCTCAGAATCAGACAAAACAAACGCCAATTCTACTTCTTCACCGTCGTCGTCGTCGTCATCGTCAACTTCCAAAAAACGAGGTAGAAACAACGACAACAATAATAGTAACGAAAACAAGCATTCGGTGTATAGAGGAGTCAGAATGCGCACGTGGGGAAAATGGGTGTCGGAAATCCGCGAGCCGCGAAAGAAGAACCGAATCTGGCTCGGCACCTTCGCCACCGCCGAGATGGCAGCGCGTGCGCACGATGTGGCGGCGCTCACCATAAAGGGTTCCTCTGCCATCCTTAACTTCCCCGAACTCGCCGCCTCCCTGCCGCGCCCCGCTTCCAACTCCCCCCGCGACGTGCAGGCCGCCGCCGCCAAGGCCGCCTCCATGGAGGCACCGCCGCGGAACCCTCCATCTCCGGCCGCCGCGCCGGAGGATGACCTCGGCGAGATTGTGGAGCTGCCGCCGCTGGGGTCGAGCTTCGATTCGCCCGACCCGAATACCGAGTTCGTGTTCCTCGACCCGGATGAGGGGTGGCCCTATTCTCACCCGTGGTATCACGGCATTTATGACGGTGGGTACTTCATCGGTGACATGAACATGGTTTCAATGCAAGACTCAGAAAGCATGGTTCTTTCCTTGTGGCCTTGAACTCAAGCAAATTACACCAATGCTACCATTGAAGTATTTTTATTTTATTTTTTCATATTTTTTTGTGTGGTATGATTAGTTCATAATCATGTTTTTTTTCTCAAGTATTTGGTAAAAATTCGATTTTTCAGGTTCATGTATATGGAATAATATCTATTGACCTGAAAAAATCGATACAATATATCGAGATATTACACTGTAGTTCTCGATTAGAAACATCAGGTTCAACAATTTGTTATTATTTTTGTATTTTTTTTCTTTTTTTTCTGAATTGCATAGTACTTATTTATCACTTAACCTTTCTAGATGGGCCCTTCGGCAATTTTTCTTTTCAAGGGCCATAATATATGAAAATTTTTCTTCTTTCTTTTGTTTGTAGTTACTTAATTTGTTTGTTCTTCTCTCCTTCATTTTTCTTTGGTATGTGATCCTGGTTGTTGTTATGAGCTTCATACAATAAAATGGTAATTAATAGATGAAGTTGACGATGATGATGCAAATGAAGCGAAAGATACGTGTAGAAAGTTGTTCTAAGCTTACATTATATAGTTCTGCTTTTAGAGGACAAGAATAAAGGTTAAAGGAAGATTCTCCATTGGATTTTATTTCCATTTTTTACAGCTCATTCTTCCTCTTTCCATTGTTTGTGGTTTTTCTGTTTTTGAGAAAATGACCCTCTTGACGGTAACAAAATTACAAGTCTACATCGTATGCATGATTGAATAAAACAATTAATAATGATTAATGCACTGTGTGCACCCTTTCATATCATATAATAATTTATTGGGGATGAAGCTTCGAATAGAAATTCGACTCATGGTACATACAGCTAGCAATGACTGATAATCTTCTACACACGCAACGTCAAAGTTCATTTTTTTCTCATTTTCCTTGTTGCTTTTGGAGGAACTGCAAATTCAAATGTTACCCCAAATCATTTTATTTTACCTTTTTTTTCTACAAAAGAAAAAAAAAATGAGTAAAAAAGTGAACTTTCCTACTTTTTCTTTTTTTTATATGATGGAAAATGTAACATTCTTCTGTTAAAAAAGTAGTGCAAGTTAACTGGCTCTGCAAATTTTACTAAAGGCCAATTTTTTTTTCTTTCAAATATTTGGTAAGAAAATGAATTAAAAATTTATTCCATCCCATGTTAGGACATCTCATTATTTAATGTGATGTGATGATTTGGAAGAAAGATGCATACATCATAAATAGAGATACGTAGCAGTTGGCAGGAATTTAATTAATACAGGTATCATTATTTGATTAAAAATAATGCAGTATGTTATGATATGGAACTATTTGGAATAACATTTTAATTACTTTAATTAGCATTAATACTGTGGTTGCTAGTTACTTAAAGATGAGATCATTCAAAGGCATGACCCATGTGATTTTTGGTTATACATTAAGAAATGCTAGATATCCTACTTTATATTATTCTATATTTTCTCTCCCAAAACAAATCATGCCAAAAAATCTTAAGAAAAAAGGTAAAAAACCAGTACTTTTTCCCCTTTTCTGCATTATTAATATATACACCTGACTTTAGTGGCCCTTCTTTGTTGTGGGGATGTAATACCTCTTTCCAGTGACAGTTTATTTAGATAGCATTGTTGTGACATGTGTGGATTCATGCTTATGATGATCTCTACACTTTACAATATGGTCAAACACACACAAATTCAAGCCTGAATCATAAAGGAACACTCATACCTGCAATCAAAAGTATATATATATATATATCATCTCTTTTCTTTTCCATCAATGTATGTTTGGCTGTCAATGAGGCAGAGTTATGTCTGCTCAAATGTCAGTGTAACTAATGTTTCATGTAAATTTATAAAAGTGTGAAGAATATATTCTTTAACATAAATTTTTTTTCTAATTATGTTTTTTACTATTGTTGTTAAAAGTTAAAAAAACTTGTTAAATTTAAGTAATTAGTGTTAATACCTTTCTCTTCTCTTTCTATCTGTTGAACAAAAGTTTATACATTTATTGTAGAAATGCAACTTCCCTGTCTAATAGTAAGTACCCAGAAAATTTTATGACCTCCGATATGAGTTTACAGTTAGGAATGATAATTTAAGTACCCAACCTAAATCACCAGAAGATGCAATTGAAGCACCATAAGAGTTGCAGCATTCAATAATTGCCACTGCACGAGTATTTCAGACTGGAGAAATATTATAAATAATAGTTTACAAGAATTAAAAAAAAAAAAAGTTACCTCAGACAACCTAAACTAATAGAATAATCCTTGTTTTCTTCAAGCCAGCAATGTGAAGCAAGGTATTTCTTAATTTATGCAAATTTGCTTAATACTGAAAATGTTGTGTTCACACAGCCAAGTTTATTAGCCTCTAAGAAATATAGGTTTAGTCTTAGATAACATGTGTGCATGTTACCATTAAACCTTAATACATGTCAGATAATTGGTATCTTGAACATATTCACAAAAAACTTTTTTTATGTGTATTAAAAAACCATTTTATCAAGAATAAAATTACATTAGTAATATTAAGTGATTAGTATAAAGTTATTTATATCTCAAATCTAATATGATAAGATTAATCAAGGACATTAAGATGTAAATGAAAATCAAAATTATATTTTCTAGGTTATGTTTGTTTAGAAATAATAAGATAATATTTTAACCTCAAATTCGTAAGTAATATTATTTCTTTAAATTCTAATTTATCACAATTTTTTACTTCAAAGATTTTTTTATGGGTTAAGGAAAAATAATATTCATACATTATCTTTAATGTTAATTGACAAAAAATGTGGGACTTTCAAATATAAACATAATCCTCCACATAATAATCTATCTTAAATTAAAAAAAAAAGTATAGTGCAGTATATTAAATTGTTGAGTAAAAGTCAATGGGAACTTTTACTTCTTTTGGTAATACTTTGATCAATTTTCATCTACCATTCACCACAATAAATAGAATTAGAATTTATTATGTGGTGGTCCACTGGTAGAATCTTTGTACCCATGAACATATATTGTGAACATACTCATAGCAATGATAGCATGTTTTGGCAACCCTGGAAATTTAAACTACTACGAATTGATGAAAAGTATTCAGCCATTACCCTAGGTGTTTTTCTTCGAAACTTCAACTTTTAAGGGCCACATTAATTGTTCACCTTCATAAAAAGGGAAACTGTATCCATATAATAAATGTACACAAAAATTCAGAGAGAAAGAGATGCAAGAATAATTATACAAAAAACAGTATATATATGAAAACCCTATAATCGTTACATAGCTACCAAAAGTGGCTTATACATTTTTTGTTCATGTCTAACACGACATTATATATTGGGAGGAAAACGAAGGGTAGGTGCACTCAATTACAAATAGTGACTTTTGTTTCAATAATTGAGAAGAAGCCTTAAACCATTCCTAACACTTGTTTCAACTTTGTGCTTTCCCCACCAACAAAGGAACTCATTTCAAAAAATGGTGAGTATGGAAGTCTTACTTCATGACCCCATCAAATAGCTGTAAGATATCAACCAAAAAGGTCCCATTTTTTGCTTACCACCCTTGGCTTCTAGCTAGTACGAAATTTAGGTTTCTTTATGGGGTTCGCAATGGGAAAATTTAGTTTAATTAACCCAATTAACGTACAGTATGATTGATTTCAATTAAATTATTACTTTAAGGACCACTTATCAAGAAAATTAGTACTACTTAATAAGGTTGTGGGTGGTGGATATTCTTTTCCTGACTATTTTATTATCTTCTTCATGCCTTTCTTAAGGCGTATCTAAGAATAGTTAATCATCCAATCAAATTGTGCATTATGGAACTTTGTTTTACGAGCCATTCATGTGCATCTTGTGCTTAAGTCTTTTGTTGCACTTCATGTCAAACAGTTATTTATGGTTGATGCATTTTGACCCATTTAGGTTTATAATAAGCACATATTTTTACTGACATCATGTTTTCTTCTTCTTTTCACACGTCCTCTTTCATCCCAAAGTTGACTCTAATCAATAAAGGAATTGTCTGGGAATTACGTCATAGTTCTTTAAGACTAGGGCTCGTTTGCTCAAGAGAAAAATCAAGTTTTTTTCTCTCCAAAATTATCGTCTTAGCATTCGATATAGTTTTCTGCATATGATAAGATGCGAAAGGGTATTACTATTTTCCATGTAACTTATCAGACTCTTTATAATTGTTGTTGCTTCACGTTTGCTATTGAAGGGATTCTGATGACGTGATTCATACGATCACGTTCTCTAATCTTTGCTTAAGACAGAAAGTACAAAATACCATCAAATCTAATAGACGATACTGTAGTATACTAGTAGCTAGTGATAGCACATTCAATAACTCACCTACCTAATCATTGTTTAGCATAAATCCAATTCTTAGTCATGTGAGGATTTAGATTTGAGTTGAGACCAATGTTTAATTTGTTTTTCAAGGAAAAGACTAGTCACTGGGAAGCAATGAGTCACTCGGATTCCATGCTCACATGCTTCTGCATATCGTTGCAAGTACTTCAAATGACCAAGTCACTGGTTTGCTTCAATTACCAACAAAACCACCATGAACCATTATTAGATGCAACAGAGAAAACAGTGGCTGAAAGTATTAGTAACAAATATTAGTTGGCATTGCTAATTTTTAACTAAAAGGTGGCTGAAAAATCGTATCTCAGCATAGAATCTGATGAAAGTGTTTGCTTTCAAACCCCAATGAAAAAGAAAATAAAAATATTAATCCCCCTTTTCCATTACCTCTGATTATTTTTTTATTCTTAACAGTATTTTGACTCTAATTATAATAATCAACCATCAAAGTTAATGTCTTTACCAAATTAAGTACTAGCTACCAGTAGTGGTAAGTATCTGTATCTGTTCTCTAGCAATGTTAGACAGTTAAAAAAAAAATTTGAGTAAGAAATACAACAATAGGACACAGGTATTTCAAAGTGACACTATTTTTGACAATTTTACTTATAAAATCATTT